TTATAAAAATTAAAGGCCACCTAATTATTTTTTTACACGACTACCCAAAAAAAGTCTTATATTTTTAGGTTTCATGTACTAAGGGTGACAAAAATGCATGGAGAGCTTATGGTCGACTATTGACTGACAGGTTTTGCATAACGCTACCATTGATAACTAGATGGCGCTGCTTTTAAATGAAAATAACCCTACAAAGCTTGAATACTTTACACTGCTGAGGCACACAATAAGGTTTTTAATGGTTAAAATAATAATTAAGAAACAATAATATATTTATATTCAAATACACATTAATTATGTTAATTTTCTTATTTCCGAGGACTTAATACAGCGCCATCTAAGTCAAGCCAAGCAAACCAATTAAAAGATGGCGTCAGCAATGAATGATAGACAATAATAAAAGTTATAAACTAACCCGCATTTTCATCATCAAAAAATGCGATCGGTATGATGAATAAGAATGATAGAATAATGAAGTCGAAGGGCTCCGGTTCAATTCCGGGTTATCATTTTTAAGTTCAGGTTTTTAACAATGGTTTTTTTATATTTTTTTTTTATATCAAATCAATAATAATAATATATAAATAAAATATTTGGCGTTTAATATTTACAAAAGACAACAAAAATAAATATATATATTATTTTAGAAATAAATTATATTAATAAATATATATAAATAACTTTTATAATATGTGCTAACTATTAATGTAAAAGTAGGTAACATAATTTTCTTACAGATTAAGACTAATACTAAGTTTAATTCTCATAAAGGATAACAAATAAAACTATTTTAGTGACTTTATAAATTCAGACATTTATTTCTTAAAACATAATATTTATTTCTTTCTTATATAGTGTATACCCTGACCTAATAACTTTTCAGTTAACTGACACATTATTTAATAGACTTTTTATAAGATTAATATTGTGTTGTGCTAGTCATTTATTAGATAGTTTTAAACACAATGTTATAATACGTTTCTATATAATATGCAACCTTACTTCTGTAACTATATTTTACATCCCCATAAAATTTAATTAAAGTATTGACTAAAGTGATTCATTTTGTGCATAGTGTTATGACAAAGGTTCATAGCTTAAGTATTCGTTCCAGAACAAGGAAGAAATTGAAGCTAGACCTTAAATCAATAACATTTGTAAGACCGGGATATAGCAGTCATTAGATATGGGACGAATTGTTTATAGTAATAATAAATAAATAATTAATTATATTGGAATAGCATCTGTAGATGTTAATATTGCTTTTATTTTTATTTCTCATATTTAGTAAAACATTAAAATCATTACTGTAAATAACAGTTGCTGGTTATAAAGTAGTCAATAAATTTATCCTACTAACATTAAGTTTGAACATTTATCCATTAAATAAATTATAGCTACCCCGGTCTTGTAATTGCTTAACCCTATAGTCAACAATATCTTTTCTTTTAAGAACTCGTGTAGCCGCCATTTTTATCGATCCTATTTTTCCTATCTCGATGGCCAAGGAATAATCCGTATTACCTACTGATTGCTGACAAAACACTTGCACAATTTTGGGACATTACACATAGGACAATTGTCCTGCACGAACGTTATCACTAGCACATCTTCATGACGTCATTCAGCACATCCATGTAGTTTTTACTGTTTGCATCACTGAAGATGACAATGATCCAGTAATTTTCCTCATAACCTTGCCCCATAAGTTGAAGCTGGTCTGAGTCAATATCACGTCTTCTGCCAGATCCACTACGGTGCTCCAATGAACCCTCTTCTTGAAACAACTTTAGATATCCGAAAGTGGCAGTCTTTACCTGTAAGGGACGTGTATTATTTATTATTTTCATGTATCGATAACTATGGATAATAAAATAAATAACGAACGGTCATTTTAAAATACTTACATTTAAGATATTTTAACTCTAATTACTAGTAACTAGTAGATATGTGTTGCATTCGTCCGTGCGTCACTGCAGGGGTGCCAACTGAAAATCAGTGTTGGGTGCTTTGTGCCCAGCTTTTGCTGAGTTGGCGACCCATTCGGATTGGGCATGTCCGCCAACCCAGGTTTGTATTATTGTACTTTGTTAGGCTGTTTTTACGTTATTGTTTTGATTAATTTTATTTTTATTTTATTTTATTGTCCTGTTATTTCAAACTTTTATTGTGTTTTTTTTTTATTGTTGTATTTTCTTTTTATTGTTCTTGGCCTTCATGTCTGGGTCCGAATAAAAACAGTTTTCTTTTCTTCTTCTTTTCTTTCTTTAAGCCAGTTTCTCTCGAATTTCCAGTATAATTTAAGCTTTGATTATGCAATGCTATTATTTGGGCCCTCGTAGCCATATCAATATTTGAACGCAAACTCATAATAACAATAAATATTAAAAACTTGTTAAACAAATCGGAACTGAACTCACTCAAAGATAGTAAAGAATGTTATGATTGAACAAAAAGGTTTAATTTTTATACAGTTAATATTAAATTACCCTCAACTGTTTTGAGATTTATGATCGAGTTAAAGTTGCTAAACAACTTCAATATAATAAAGAGTAGGATAATTTCAATATATTTCAAGGTTACGCAATGGCCTAATGGCTAGTGGCATCGGTAAATTTTATGCTACCGAGTTCGAATCCTGGTTATTGCGTGCTTTGCTTTAAAAAGGTTTGGAATATCGTAGGATTAATTTGTGTAAAAATTTATTAAGTTAATAACTTTGTATCTGATAAAAACTATAAATGTATATTTTTCAATACCACTAGTATACTAGCGCCATCTATGTCGTCAATGGTATATTTAATTACGGCGATGAAACGCCGTACAAACGATTTTGATTTGGAATCCTCCATGCACTTATGACACTGATAGTACATATTATGTATCCAAATTTTCTTTATTCCACTGTCACTTCCAAACGCCTGTGCCAAATTAAACAAAAAGCATATCGTTGGAATCCTTTAATCATCCTGGGTGACATAGGCTAGGTTGTGTCTTAATATAATCAATGGGTTGGCTACGGGGCTTAAATAATAAATAAGTTAATATAAATCACTAAATATAATAAATAAGTTAAAACAAATACTAGACGACATAGAAGAAAAATGTTTTTTTTTTAATTTATGCAATAAAAGAACTCGTTTTTGCTCCTAAAAATGAATTAACTTCTCTGAAGAAAAAAAACTGGATTCAAATCCATGAAAAAGGTTTGGAAGAAAGAGAGAAAAAGTTAGACAGAAATGAATAAGGTATACTTTAATTTTCTTATTATTATGACTACGAAATAGCTAATCCACATTGAGCTAGCGTGCTGAATAATGCTCAAACCTTCTCCAAGTAAGAAGAGGCTTTTACTTAGTTTGCTTTAGTAGTCACTATGCTAAATGTTACTTACAGAGCAGTTGTTATTGAATGCTACGTAAAATTGTCGTTTTTGGTATTAAATTCTTAATTCTTGAACTTCCACGAATACCAAAATAATCAAGTTTATCACAGAAAACTAACAGAAACTCATTTTAATATATAAGAAAAAAGAAGATATACTAGCTGACCCAGTACACCGTACCGCCTCAAATATAACTATAAATATATTCTAATCTTTTAAACCTTCTCTGGAACGAATATTTTAATATCAAAATTATCTAAAACAAGCCAGCCGTTCTCAAGCTTTTAAGCGAGACTAACAAACAGCAATTCATTTTTATATAGGCATAAGAAGATTGGCTTCACGTTAATATATTTTCTGTTATACCTCATTGTGATTGCTGTGCAGGCCTAAAGCGATCTGCTTTAGGCCTCTTCTCACACGGAGAAGTTTTGAGCATTAATCAACACGCTTGCTCAATGCCGATTTCAAACTTAAAATTAGAAATTATAAGTCCAGGTTTCCTCACGATGTTTACCTTCACCGTATGTCAGTGGTGTCTAAATAATCATAGAAAGTACAGATAACTCGGAAAACATTGGTACTTACCAGGTTTCGAACCCACACCCTCATGTATGAGAAGCGGGCTCCTTAACCTCCGGGCGACCACGACCCTAATCATGGTTATTCATCTATTTAACAAAGCGATAGGATGTATAAATTAAAATTAATTATTATATCTTCGTATTATTCGATTCCATTCACGGGACCACAGGATCCCGGACTTTTGGTAGGCGTACGAGGGGCCGAAGCCATCTCGCAGAGGCCCTTTGAACAACTTTAATTTAGTATGTGATGGGACATCAGCCGGCAATTATCCCTGTATGCACTACAAAAGTGCATACAGGGACAATACCTGGTTGATGCAGGACTATTGTGCAATATGGTTGAAAATTATATGGTTATGGGTATGCTTTTTTTGTGAGGGGTAAATCATCAAATGACTTTTTCCGCCCAGCGTCGGGCGGGAGGGATGGTCAGACTCTTACTAACTAAAAAACCCCCTATTCCTTCTCCTGCTCTCGGTCAAGGTCGCGATACCTGATTGCTTACCCCGCAACCCCGGATGGGTGTGGGTGGCTGTAGACTAGTATATGATATCTATGGAAATACTAATATTATTATTATCGTCATCGTTCTTTGTCGCGCGGTGCTATTATATGCTAAATGATCTACTCATGATCTATCCATGAGTAGCCCCTAGCGTGGCTTGTAACTATTCGAGTACCCGCGACGAAGAGTTTCGCGAGTAAGCTTATTTATTGTACACTAGCTATTCTTGCGCGGTTTCGTAGCGTGATGTTTTATAGCCTATAGCACTCAGAAACATTGTAGCTACCTATCAGTGAAAGAATTTTCACAATCCGACCAGCGGTTCCAAAGATTACCCCCTACATACAAACTTACAAATTTTACCTCTTTATAATATTAGTATAGATTCAATTGTTGTAATATGAGACACAATAGTAAGACAGAAGGTACCCGATCGCATTCGCTTAGGTTTTGATTTTTTTGTATGGGATACGTCGGCAAACGAGCTGACGGATTACGTGACGGTAAGCAATCGCCGCCGCCCATGGGGCTCCATAAACTAAAGGACTCACGACTGCATTACTGGCGTTTTGCGGATAAGAGTTTCGGATATTTACCTAAGGATTGGGAGGGAATGGGGGCGTGGCAGCGATTGAGCCTCCGGAAACACATTTGTTTTTTTAAATCATTTATTTCAATTAGACCATAGTAGGCACTTTTGAACGTCAAGCAAAAAAAAGTATTTCAAGAGCTTTAAATTTACGCGTGTCAGTCTGTCCTCTAGTGAAGCTATTTGCTTGTTCCAAAGTGTAGATTCCTATGGGGAAGAACGAGCAAGAAACTCCATGGTTACTCTTTTTCAATCAGTTTTACAATTATTGTTTTGTTACATCATTTTGTCGGTTCTGATATGAATTGGCCTTGGTATCAATACAGTCGAGCCGGCCCATTCGTGCCGGAGCTTGGCTCTCCCAAACTTAAATTGATTTATAATTGACACACTTTACTTGATGATTTATGAAACATCTTTTAATTTATTTTTCTTTTAATAGTTTTTAGGGAATTGGTATGAAGTAGCTCGGTTGTCGAACCCGAATCAAGAAGGAGAGTGTGCAGCATATGACTTCACGAGCGGTAATAATGCCATCAACGTGCAATACACTTCAGTCAAAAGCAACTTCCTGGAAGAGGCTACCGGCACAGTAACACAAGAAGGCAACACTGCTAAACTAAAAATAACGATCTCGACTTTTGAAGAGCGTAAGTGATTTTAATACCTTCGAACCTATATCTATTAAAAAACAACAAGTTACATCATGTAAACAAACCAAATCCGTTCGCGTGGAACAGTGACTTCCTGCAGAATTTTTTATTTAAAACCTAAGTCCTTTCTCAAGTTCCAAACTATGTCTGTACCAAATTTTACATGTCCTTTCTCGATTTTTAAACTATGCGTGTACCAAATTTCACAGAAATCGGTTCAGTAGTTTAGGCGTACAGAAAAGATACACAGACAGGGTTACTTCCGCATTTATAATATTTGTTTGGAAGTTTGGTCTAATAGTCATTCTTCCATGTTTTGTACAGTGAATTTTCGCACATGTTGTCTGAATGTACTTAATAATTTTTATTTTATTTTCAGCTATTGATTTTTGGGTGTTGGATACGTTCTACGATATATTTGCACTCACATACTCTTGTCAAAATATCTCACCAACGCACAGAAAGAGTAAGTATACATTTTTTATATCGTTGAAGCAACAATATTTAAGCGAGGAATTCATAAAACCTTAAATAATAAATATTATTTATAATGAAACTACACTAGACTAAGTATATCGGGTTTTTTTATTTAAAATATTTTTTGGTAATATTTTCTGAGACGGTGCGTGGGGGCAAGACGGATAAAGTTTCGCTGTACTGCCATCTATTGTGCGATTTTGATAACCACCACTGTGCCCACAGGCTCTAAATAATTATTCGATAACAGTCCTTTTTTACGACACGAATTCTAGAAAAGCCGATTTACAAATAAAACTGAAACAATTACAAAGATGAAAAAATTAGCTAATCACTAAATTAACACCTGAAATGACTTAATATTTCAAAGAAAACCAGTACTCACAATATAGTTTAACCAGTATTAACAATATAGGATTGATTAATAACTTAGGAACATTTTTCGCAGTTCACATATGGGTACTTGGACGAAATCCCACTGTAAACGACATGATGATCGCCAGAATATCGGCACAACTTACAAATTTATTCGGTATCAATTATTCGGCACTGACAAATGTTGACCACAGTGCAGCTGCCTGCTACGTCCTACCAATCATTGAACCTGGTAATCCTATCGTATTACCTGGACAATGTGACCAGAATCTACAAGTGCTTCAAAACTTTGACGCTGCGAAGGTGAGTACAAATTCATATAGATGGAACTGAAATATTAAACGAACTCTGGGACTAATAGAGCTTTTACAAGCAGCAGACGGTTCACCTGATTACCGCGCGCGCTTCATAGATCCAATAGAGCATTACATACGGGGCCGTATAGGGCTGATGTTCAGCCGGTGTTGCGGGTTAAGCGCAATGAGGCAACGCGGCCTCGGCCCAGAGCAGGAGAAGGAACAGGGGGTTTTTAGTCAGTAAGAGTCTGACACTGTCTCTCGCCTTACCCTGGGGCGAGAGAAGTCATTTGATGATTTTTCCCTGACAAAAAAACCGATCACCTGATGATAAGCGATCAACACAGCTCAAGGAGACTTGCAGCACCAGAGAAGTTACGCTTGCGTTGCCTGCCATTTGGATAGGATGACAATGACTTACATACTAACTTAAAGTCAAAGTCAAAATCACTTATTTCAATAAGACCACAGAAGGCACTTTTGAACGTCAAGCAAAAAAAAAGTATTTAAAGAGCTTTAACTTTATGCGGGTCAGTCAGTCCGTCTGTCCTCTAGTGAAGCTATTTGCTCGTTTCAAAGTGTAGATTCCTGTGGAGAAAAATGAGCAAGAAACTCCATAAATTATTATTCTAAATACAATTTCATTCAACATCCATTACATTGTATCGTACATTCATTATATTATTTTAATCATTCATACATTCAACTGACTGCCGCGCAACGTGTTGCGGTTTCGATTCCCGCGATGGATAAAATACCCCCCACGCTTGTATTTTTACTTGTGTCCTTGGCTTTAACCTATAAAGCCAAGGGTACAAGTAAAAATTTCGTTGTCCAACGTTTGACAAAAATACACAGACTACATAAACTTTAAACTTTTTAATTTCAGTTCTCAGGGTTGTGGCATCAAATATCAAGCTACGAAACTTCCAATTCGGGTGGAACTTGTGTGAGAGCTGAGTACACAGTCGGCAAAGAAGGGGTTAATATCCTCAACAGTCAAGTTATTAACCAGAGGCTAATGACGATCGAAGGATCGGCGACTGTCATTAGTGATGATAATAGTGCCAAGTTACGCGTGGTGTTAAACACTCCTGAAGGTCGTAAGTAATCACCAATAGTCATCATCATCGTCATCGGCCTATAAGTTCCCCCTACTGAACCAAGGCCTATTCTCTCAATGAGTAATTATGAGTCCAAGTTTCCTCGCGATGTTTTCCTTCACCATATGCCAGTGGTATCTAAATAATCATAGAAAGTACTAACTCGAGATAGTTTATGTATGAAATAAAAAATATATTACAACACATCTTTTAAACTCAAAATTCGGTATGCAAAATGACCGTATGAGTTTTGATTCCATTACAATACCGCTGAATTATTTATATTTAAAATGAATTATTATATAAACAATTGGATTTCTTACATACAAGTTTATGTACAGACATAGGTATACACATAGATTTATACGTATTTTTAACACATTTTTATTATTGTTTAACAGCTCCAACACCACAAGAATTATGGATCTTAGAGAGTGACTATGAAAACTACGCAGTGTTATATAGCTGTACCAATATTAATACGAATGAAAAAAGAGGTAAACTTCTTAATAAACATATTTATATTATTTTAATAGGTCTTTACGTATGAAATTGCCGTTTTGCATGAAAAAAATGAAACGAATTTTTTGATTTGAAATGCGATGAAAATGTAACACTAATCAATAAAGAAATGACTACTTTTGGAAAAAGAATCCCATGTTTTTAAAACAAAATTAATTAGCCTTAGCCTAACAAAAACTATTTCGATTTGAAACGGCCAGAACTGCAGAACGGCCTATTATAAGGATTTACATTTTGCGATTAAAATGTATGGCAAAATGTACGCATTACTCAACGAGGCCCGAAACTTCTTCAACCGATTTAAGCATATGAATACACGAACATTAATTTTATTATCTCTTTTTCAGTTTTCAGTTGGATTATCGGCAGATCACGTCAACTATCACAGGAGGTTCAAACGAAAGTCGATCAAGTAGTCAATTCGTATACAGAATTGAATTACCAGTATTTCAAAATGACGGATCAGTCTTTTGATGGATGCTTCTTCTATCCAGAAGTGAGCTCAGAGCCCGTTGTTTATAGAGGTCAATGTGAATCAGTCAATGTCCAAGCTATGAACACTTTTGATGCTGAAGAAGTGAGTTACCAGTCAGTCTTTACTAAGTCATGTAATTTTTTTTTTTTGTAAAACTTTATAAAGTGAAGTAAATTTAAATTTTATAAAATTAATTATATTATTCAAACTATTTATTTATTATGAAACTTAACGATCGATTTAAAAAAAACATTTTTTTTAATTCGATAAATATACGTTATTAAAAATGACATTTTTCTATGAAATATCTTAGTAATTACGGTATTATAAACTTATCTTTCTAAATTTTTTTTGCTCGACCAATATGCTAACTCATTGCTCTTAAGTATATATAACTATATAGATAAGATACTAAGTTTAAAATAAAATCAATTTCACACACATAGTATTGAAAGTAGTTTAAAAACCTCCTTTAATATATTATTGATAGAACAGAAATTTAAAATTAGAACTATTTTAATTCTTTTTTTTTTCAGTATATGGGTAGATGGCACAATATTCTATCGTATCCAACAAGATTCCAAGATGGCACATGCGTCAATGCCTATTACTCATTAACAAATAACGGAGTTAATGTGTTGAATTCGCAAGTGAACAACCAAAGGCTTGAAACTATTAGTGGAATGGCAGTTCCATCATCTGATGATGGGTCAGCTAAACTTGTAGTCTCATTTCCTGTAGCAGGGTCTGATCGTAAGTTCCAAAAAACTACCAACCTAACTTGACCCTTAAGTGGCTTCCTTTTTTTGCTATTTGCTCTGGATGGGGCGAGAAAGGGTCAGCCATTTACTGACTTAAAACCGTCCCGTTCATTCTTCTGGTCCAGGCCGGGGACGCGGTACATGACCCGTAACCCCGGCTGATCTTTAAGAGGCTTAAGGGTTGGACTTCATCTGGCAGCACGGAATCGCATTTGTTTCGCCTGTGCTACAACGTGCTGCCGCATGCGAACGCGCGCTATTGCATTCCGTAGACAAAAACGGCGATCGCACAAAAACGTGAAAGGATGCGTTAGCATGCTATCGCACGCTTCAGCGTTCCGGAGTCTCCCTGCCGACCATTGCGATTGCCTCGAGAATTTCGCCGTGTGCTATCGCATTATGCTTTCTGTCTCGGTCTAGCAAATGGCAGTTCTAAGCGAAAGAAAGAGAAAAGGCGACTCCGTGCTGCCAGATGAGGTCCTACCCTAAGACTCTGTTACACTTAAAAGTTTTGTTAGCTAATTATTATTTTCGCCTAAAATAAAATATTTCTTTTAACCTAACCTAAACAACATTTTATTAGAATAAAATTTTAATGTTTGTCTACTTTAATTTCGATATCTGTATTAATTGTTAACTTTTACTTTCAGAAACCACATCTACGGATTATTGGGTCCTAGACACGGATTACAAGAACTTTGCTTTGGTATATTCCTGTCAAAATATCAATGATGATGAAATGCAAGGTAATTTTAATTAAATTTTAATTTATTTAATCGCTGAAAATTTTTGGTATTTGTAAAATGATGTTTGTCTATAAACTACTAAAAACAATCGCACTGCAATGCTGATACTAATTTTCTACACTATTTAATGGATGTTATTACACGTAAACCATCCTCTTCAATCAGGTTGTTGAGTTCAGGTGGAGTGTACAGGTATGGGACCTGTACACTCCACAAAAATAATTGTAGCGTCACCAGAATGTTCGATACAAAAAAGAAAAACGAAATGAAAATAACTGACTTACGTTCTATGGAAGAAAAAGACGAAGAGAGAGAGAGAGAGAGAGAGATAAAGACAGCAAAAAGTATCGTTACAACTTTTCGTCTCAATTTTTAGTCTGTCCCCCTTTCGATAAGGAACTTCGTTCCAATACGGTAGTTTCCAACTAGTCAAATTCAATACTTTTATCCAAATGTCAAAAAATATGAAATTTGTATGAAATATACTTTTCTATGAAATTTGTATGAAAAATACTTTTCTATGAAATTTGTATGAAAAACTGAGTTATGACGTTATAACATTTTTGCGTCAAATCGCTTACTTATTTCTTAAAAATTACCTAAAAAAATATAAATCTTAGTGTATTGATCGATTGATGAATAAAAGTGTAGTTATTATTCAATATTTTGTTGTATTAAAACGTCGAATTAATTTATTTTTCACCTAGGAAACTACCGAATTGTGCCCCTTACCAAATTTGAAGAGCAATGAATGACTAGTGTTTAAATTATGTTCGGCTATGTTTTGCTAAGAGACGCTTACAAAGCTTATAAGACAACTTTCAGAAGTTATTTACTGAGAGGAAATTGGTATAAAAATCCATCTCTCCCTTACCTAGGAGTACCTAACACTAATGCCAAATATAAAGCTTAAGTTTTAATTAAAACCATAACATTTAAACATAGGTACAATTAAGATCATATTTCATCTATACTAATATTATAAAGAGGTAAAATTTGTAAGTTTGTATGTAGGGGGTAATCTTTGGAACCGCTGGTCGGATTGCCAAAATTATTTTACAGATAGAGAGCTACAATGTCCCTGAGTGCTATAGGCTATAATACATCACGCTACGATTAAATGGAGCCATGCAGCGGGAGAAACCGCGCGAGAGTAGCTAGTCAAATTATAAATGCGAAAATGTTGTTATTTTATCTCCCTTTCACACCGTAACTGACCTATTATAAAGGATGATTTTTGCTATTGTATCTGAGGTTAACTAAGAGGTTTGAATAAGATGGCCATAGTCTGTGAGCCCGTTGAGAATACGCAATATTTACATAGTCATCTTCAGCCTATAAGTGCCTACTTCTGAGCAAAAAGCAAATATCGTACTGAGAAGATTTGCGCATTAATCACCACGCTTGCTCAAGATGGTAATAGTAAGGTTGGCAAATTCAAACTTATATATAACTAGCGGCCCGCCCCCGCTTCGTTTGGGTCCAACTATCTCGCTATCAAAGGGTCACTTTTTCCTAATCTTTCCCTCTACTTTTCCTGACAATAACAAACACAACAAAAAAAGAATTAGCTAAATTTGTCCAGGCGTTGTTGAGTTATGCGCTTACCTTTATAACACATTTTGATTTCGATCCATTTTTATATATAAGATAAAGAACAGCTTTAGCCGCGACTCCGTTCCCGTGAAATAGTGATAAATGCAGTTTTTTGATATAAAAACTATCCAATGTCCTTTCTCGAGTTCCAAACTATGTCCGTACCAAATTTTACAGTCATCGGTTCAGTGGTATAGGTGTAAACCTGGACTTATAATTTCTAATTATGTGTTTGAAGTGAAGGAAAGACAGACAGACAGAGTTACTTTCGCATTTATAATATTAGTATAGAAGTATAGATATAGATAGTATATGTAGATTAAAAATAACAAGTCCTGGTTTCCTCACGGTGTTTTCCTTCGCCGTATGTCAATGGTGTCTAAGTAATCATAGTAAGTACATATAACTTGGAAAAAGTCACATTGGTACTTGCTAGGTTTCGAACCCTTTGGGCCGGGTAGTAGGACTACATAATCTTCGACTGCACGGTTGGTGCGGTGGCTGGGCAACTAACTGCCGTGCAACGTGTCGCGGGTTCGATTCCCGTCCGGAACAACTATTATGTGTGATCCACAAATTGTTGTTCCGGGTCTGGGTGTCATGTGTATGTGAAATTGTGTGTTTGTGACCGCACCCACGATACAGCAGCAAATACTAAAGTGAGGCAACGTTTTTTAAAAAATAATAATAATAATAATTCGCAGTATTAACCGCTTGCAATATTTTACAGTAAGCAGTTGGATACTGAGTAGAAAGAAATGGCTGGAAGAAGAATACGAAGAACGTATTAACGAGAAAATTAATTCTGTAATAGTACTAGACAAGATGTATTATAAGACAGAGGATCAATCAGAAAATGGTTGCTTCTACTTCCCTGACCCTGAGCCTGGTGTGCCGGTCGTTTTCCCTGGACAATGTGACGAAACTGTGAATGTTGTCCAATCTTTTGACTTTCAACTGGTAAGTTACATTTGACGATTATATCTTTAATCTTTAAAAAGCATGAATACCTGTGTACAATCCTAAACAATGTTCCAAAGATGATATTTGATGATGATGACTTCAACTATAAATTCCCTATTTTCAATATTAATATTCAAAAGGAGTAATTTTAAACGGCACCCCTATTTATAAACTTAGGCCTAATTTTTCAATAGTCAGATAAATGTTATCTGAGGAATAAAATTGTTGCTGTCACTGTCTTTTACAAACATTCTGACCACGGAATAGAAAATACAGTGGAAGTGCCGCTCAGACATCGCGCGCTAGTCAACATGATGTGTAGATTTACAACATTTGGCACATTCGTTGTCAGAATCGTTCGATCCGTTGTCATGATTGGTTGTCATGGTTGTCTCTAACTCTCTTAATCTACTTGTTCGTTATGTGACGTTATATACAATACATTCTAGTAGTTTCGACACTCCTCATTTAGGGATGGGACACATTCGTAAATTAGGTTCGTATCGATAATTTTTCATCATCATCGTTCCGAAAATTGATTTTGTCATTTTTTTGTATAATACATGAATGTTTAACTAAGATTGCATAGACACATCAACGTTTTAACCACACACAGCGTGCATCCGTCTGCGGTAGGTGCGGGTGGTTAATCACCATTTTTATTTTATAATGTTGTACATGATTTTTAACAGAGTTCCAAAAAGGAGAGTGGCTCTCAATTCGACAGTACATGTTTTTCTTGTTCGTTCGTCTCCGTTATTTATGAACCAATTTTAATAATTCTATGTTTGTTGGAAAGGAGATAAAACTTGTAGGAGCGCGTAGTGCTTTTATATGTTAAAATCGAAATCTTTAATAATAACTTGACCATCTCCAAAAATCATTAAATCTTCAAAAACTGTTAATTTTTCTTTTTTTTTAATTTAAGTATTTTACACGATAGACGCCTTTATTGATTGTGACATGTGAAATGATAACAACTATCGCTCATTGTTATAAGACTCAATTTTTAACAACATTTAGAAGATGATTTGCTAAAGTTGCGTTTCAACTTTTTACCCAATTATATAGCTGTTTTTTATGTGAGTAATGAACAATTTGATTTGCGAATGTGTGATTTTGGCGACACTGGTTTTCCTTTTGAAAGAGTGTAGGGGCACTTCTACTTTATTTTCTGTTCTGTGATTCTGACGCGACAGCATCATATTTATTCCCCAGATAGCTTTTATCTTACCATTGAAAAATAGAGGTGCCGTTTAAAATTACTCCTTTTCAACAAAATTAGGTCAATGTACATATTATCATCGTCTTAATTTATTAGTTTAATAATTATATTGTTTTAGTTCCAAGGCGAATGGTTTGAAATAGAATCATACCCAAACTCTCTTCAGAGTGGACAGTGTAGAAACCACAAAATTTCCGTCCTCGACAACTCTCGCCTCAACTTGGAATTTTCTTCTATAACGGATCAATTTTTGGAAGTAAATAGTGGAGTTCTAACTCAAAGTGGCACTAATAATGGAAAATTGTCTATTGCTATAACAAATGCTAATGGAGAAGGTAGGAAATATTTATTTTTTTATGAAACGAGCACTCATATCACCTGAAGGTAAGCAATCAATGCCACTCATGGACATCCAAAATACCAAAGGAAATACGAGAGCCTCCGGTCTAAGGATTTGAGGATGAAGGTTTGAGCTTTCGGTAATAAGGCAATATACAACGCTGTGGATGTTTCTCGATTCTCTGTGAGAACGTGGGATCATTATTGTTTGTGCCAAAGCGTTTCCGACGCTTAGTCGGTGCAAAAGAGACTCTATATAAAGAGTGCATATTGAAAAGAGAAAGTATTTGATTAAAATCTAAATCATTTTTCTTTTAATTTCATAAATTAATCTTATATCCTGAAAACTTTTGCAATATGCTTATTTAATGCTGTGAAAAAAACTACATGATAATATTTATGGAATTCTACTAAAATATGTTTAAGTGCTTATAAAAACTGTTTTCATAACTTGCTACCTACGTATTGAATTACGAAAACATATTTTTAACAAATTCTTCTTTAATCTATAAATCTACTAAATACTCCACGATAACATTTTCGTTCCATTTCAGTAACAAACATACCTTTCTGGATTCTGGACATACAATATAATAATTACGCCCTGGCATACTCCTGCGTCAACATCAATTCAGACTTCAGATCAGGTAAAATTAATAAAATTATTAAATAAAAAAAGAATCTACGATAAGGCGAAATCTGATCAACTGATTTAAAAAAGTAACCATGGAGTTTCTTGCTCGTTCTTCTCTATCGGAATCTACACTTTGGAACGAGCGAATAGCTTCACTAAGAGGACTGACAGACAGACTGACACTTTATATCTTTAAAATTTTGTTTGACGTACAAAAGTGCCTGTATCGGTCTAATTGAAATAAATGATTTTGACTTTGACTTTGACTCTGATATCTTCTAGTTGCTCAATTTTATGTTTACAGTAAGGAGTTGGAAGCTCAGCAGAACGAGACAACTATCTCCAGAAGCGAATGCAGCTATCGACACTATAGTAAACAACAATATTGTATTGTCCAACAACTACTTCGAGGTCATTGACTATTCTGACGATGCTTGCTTCTATCTACCAGAAATAGAAGCCGGTGAACCAATAATACTTCCTGGAACGTGCGACACTTCAATAAGAGGAATATCTAATTTTAAAATTGAAGAGGTAAGACCCTATAGGTTTTTAAATAAATATAAACTGACATTGCACTTTCACTTTGCCCTTGACTTTGACATTGCCGTAGACATAGACTTTAAGATTGACTCTGACTTTAATTGTGCCGTATTGTAACGGCAAAGTCATCTTCCTGCACACATGTGGCAAAAGCTGAGCAAAAGCACTGTCTGATGAAACAATTATTTATTCTATTTTTATTTGGGCTTTTTATCCACATGGATACGTCAACCCCAATGTAGCTTATACTGTATTTTCTCACAACCATACAAGTGTTACTATTCTTATATGAGACTAAGTATCTATAAACTAAAATATATATGAAAAGGAATTATTATCTGGGTCTCTGAATAAGCCCCAAATAAAAAATATAAAATTTAAAGAACGCTTTTTGGCTTGCGTTTATGCATTCGTTTTCAGAAGGTGTCTTCTTAAATCGCCAAAGTAATTTCTGCATAACGCTAAAAAGATAAGACTTAATTTCTCATACTAATTAGAGTTTTCCGTCAATGTGCTTCGATTTCTATTCTGCGCTTATAATTCGACCTTAATTAATACAAATTTTCCCATTTTGTATGCATAACACGTCAAAATAAAGATCTTTTCAACAGTTTACTGGTCGTTGGCGTCTTATTGAAAGCTATGGTACAGAATTCCAAGGTGGTACATGTAATGTAGCACATTACACACTTCAAGCTGACAACATTATCAACGTTTTAAACACACAAGTTGTAAATGAGAATTTGGAAAGTATTAGTGGAACTGCTTCTATTGCTAGCACGGATGGAACCGGCCAATTACTATTTTCATTCCCAAACAGTAAGTAAGATTGGTAAACATTTTTTAATTGTTTTTATCTTATAAATGATGTTTTAAAAAGAAAGACCAACAAGATTTTGAGTAATATTACATTTTTTTTTGAATATTTTTATCAAAACGAACGTCGTCTGCATACTTTTTTTTTGAATTATTTTTAAGTTTAATCTAATAATTAAGTTAAGGGATCTACCTAGATTCATTGATGTGCACTTTTATAGCGATGACATCGAAAGCAATAACTATATACAAATACGTAGTGGGTTTTTTAACAAGAACTTTACTTCTCCAAAGAATTTAGATGAAAATGATTCTAATATTAATTGTATTATAAAGAGAAAAAATTGGCAATTATAAATGAAAAAAAAAATATCTATCATGACCACGCTGACAAATGCCCGTATTTTTAGCGTCACACACACCACGTTGTGAGGCAACATACAGTGATACGTTAAACATACAAAGGTTTCTCAATAATCGCTCTAGTTTTAAGCCCAAAGGCAGTTTTGCTTGCTGACGTACAATTCTTTCTAAACAGAAGGAACCGTGGTCAGTCTTAATTCCCCCCCCCTGCCCTTCCCCCGTTCCTTCCTGCTTCAGGCCTTATTGCGCTTGACCCTTGAGGCAACAGGTCTTGTTGAGCCCCACATATGGTGGTCGATTAATTCTTTGAGGAGCGCGCGGAACGCTTGGATACAGTTCTGGTCGATCAGCGAGCTACGCTTGTCCACGGCAGACTAGTTTTTAAGTAACTTTAAAGCATTTTATAAATCTTTATGTTTTTCTTTCAGGAGACTTCAATTTGTACATACTTGACACAGATTATAAATCGTATGCCCTCGGTTACGGGTGTGTCAACCTTCAGAACAATCAGAGAAGAAGTAAATACATACATATAACTAAAACCATCATTCATACTTCAATCATCAGCCAATAACTACCCATTGTTGAGCAAAGAGGTCTCATCACACACGGAGAAAGTTTGAGCATTCATCACCACGCTTGCTCAGCTCACTCGCATGCATGAGAACGTCTAAACCTCCAGGCAATCACCATGCATTCATTAATCCTAACATTTCCATTTTTATACTTGTCTACCGTTATTCAGTAAATTTTTAATTCGACTTTATTTAGTTTACAGTTGGAAATTGAGCCGCGAGAACGCATTGAGCCCAGAAGCAGTCACGAAAATCAATGAAGTTATTGATAATATTCAGGTTTTAAACAACCGTTATTATTACGTAGTTGACCGCAGTGCTGCAAGCTGTTTCTACTACCCTATTCCAAACCAAAGTTCTAGTGTCAAATTTAGAGGCCAATGCGATCAAAATATCCGAGTTCATCAAAATTTCCAGCTTGAAAAGGTATGACGATAAACGTTTTTTATTATTTTTCTTGCTAAACTTCGGCAGGGATGGGTAGGCTCGACCAGATAGAAATCCGTTATAAAACAAGTACAGCGTTGTTTTCCGCGTTGCGACTGAGGTGAGAAGGTCTAACTAATCCTTACCCTCTCCCCATCCTTCCCCAATCCCTAAACCTGCGAAACCCTAATCCCCAGAAGGTCGAAACGCATCAGTAACTTCTCTGGTGTTGTGGATGACCATGGGTGATCTATCTGTCTGCTCGTTTTCTGCCCTATCACATAAACTACTAGTTTGCACTATTTGAAGTCACTATTTATTGATTTTAACTTTATTGTCTTGTTTCTGCAGTACCTGGGCGAATGGTATGACATCCAGTCCTACCCAGGAGATTTTCAAGACGGTACATGTAACACTGCATATTACTCCCCGGCAGAAAATGGCGTGCATGTATATAATACACAAGTCATTGATCAAACTCTGCTCTCCATAAGTGGTAATGCGGTATTAGAACCAAGTACTGATGGAAGCGCAAAACTTAAAGTGACCTTCAACGTCGCTGGCACTGATGGTATATATATTTGTCATAAAGTCATGCAAAATCATTTTTTTAGCTTATTTCAATATAACGAATCCAAAATTTGCTTAAACAATACTGGACCTGCAGTAGGCCAACAGGCAAGGCAGTACGTTCCTGTGCAAAACAAATTAATTTTATAGATTTTAGGATATTATTTTATTAATGTAATGTAAAAATAAATTTATATTAGCTGTATTTTTTTAATGGTAACTAAACCAGATGTTTTAAATCATTCTTATCTTTTTCAGTCACTACTGACTATTGGATATTGGACACCAATTATGAATCATACTCACTAGTGTACAGTTGTCGACCTATAGACGACGAATATGTTCAAGGTAAACAGTATTAATACATAAAAAAATCTAGGAATATTAACTGAATAAAATCCAAACGAAAAAACGACAAAAGAGACTACTAACGGCGCGGCCGTAAGAAATTATGGAAAATAATTATAACTGTAAACAAAACTCAATACAATAAACTTTACACATTTCAGTCACAAGTTGGAAACTGAGCAGGAATAAAGTTTTATCCCCTGAAGATGAAACTGCTATAAGCAACGCCATGGCCGACATAAAAGTTTTGGACCAGAGATATTTTGTTTCACGTGACCAAAGTCCTGAAGGCTGTTTCTACTTCCCTGACCCTCAACCCGGAGTACCAGTGGTGTTCCCTGGACAGTGCGACGACAATATTGCAGCAGTATCGAGCTTCGACATTAACAACGTGCGTGAGATTCGTGTCCTTTTTTGACATGACTTTTTAATTTAATTTGTGTGATCAACCGGGCCCTTTCGTTACAGTTCGCAGGGACGTGGCATGAGATCACAGCGTATCCCAAGGACAACCAGCCGGGGCAATGCATCAGCCAACAGTTCACTGTTACCGGAACCAACACCATGCGTCTCGAGTCATTCAGTGTACTCGGACAAGTCCAATCGACCACAGAAGGTGTCGCCACAGTCGCTTCCACTGATGGCACTGGAAGATTGAATATCAACATTCAGACCAATGGGCAGAGTAAGTCCTACTTTCGCTTAGAAGTCATTCTTGAACATGGATATGACTGTGTACTAATCGAACATGTCTCGTTTTGCAGCAGTTACAATACCTTTCTGGATTCTAAGTGTAGACTATGAGGACTACGCATTGGCGTACAGTTGTGTTAATATCAACAAAGACTACCGACAAGGTGAGTTCCACGTAACTTTCGCTATACACTCCGTCACACGTATGAATATTTATCTAAAGCAAATCTTTAACTGTTCTAGTCCATAGCTGGAAACTGAGCAGATCCAGAGTACTATCCAGTACTGGTAACACAGCTATCAACAACGCCATTACCAACATCGACGTTATAGACAATAGATACTTCGACAGCATTGACCAATCAGACGCAGCTTGTTTCCATCTTCCTGACCTAGCAGCTGGTGATGATGTTGTCCTTCCTGGACGTTGCGACGCGACTATTAAAGGAATAGAACAATTCGATATTACAAAGGTAAGTTTTTTACAAGAAACATCAACTTGAGATGTAACAAAACAAGGCAATATATGTATAATTGTATATACCTAATAGGGATGGATGGAAATTTACTCATAACTATGATTGCAGTACGCCGGTCAGTGGCGCCTCATTGAGAGCTACGGATCCCGATTCCAAAGCGGCACTTGTAACGTAGCCGACTACGTATTACAGTCCAGCAACACTCTAAGTATCACGAACTCGCAGGTTGTTGACGAGGCTCTGGCCACAATTTCTGGGACTGCTACAGTTTCTAGTACAGATGGAACTGGACAACTCACGTTTAATATGAGTAAGTATTTTTTTTCATGCCATTTACTTTGTGTACCTACTGTTTCTCTGGATGTTTGAGCAGGATATTATAATCGTTTCCTTACACTTTGAAAGAGCCACAAATGTAAAAATTATAGAAATCGTAATCGTACAACATCTACAACAAACAATTTATAAACATACATACTCCAAACAAAACGGACAAAAAATAAGTCCTGTCTGGCGGAAATCCTGCGACTAATTAATGGCTTAAATTAATTTCTAATTGTAATTTGATAAATGCAACTATTCTAGACATTCATTAATTAAATAATTAACTACAAATGAATGACTTCCAGTACTCCAGTTCTTTATGGTATTGTTGAATCAATAATCGCCCACGAAATTTCAGTTGCCTTTTCGTATGGAAAAGAAACCCTTCTAATGCACATGAAAGCTGATCTTCTTAAACAGATACATAAAACATTTTTGTTTCTAGGGAACCGCGAGTACAAAATGTTAATAAATCAATCTACTAAAATATTGATAAATCAATCTACTAAAATGTCATGTTCCATTTCAAAAGACTTCTACTGTAGGACACGATGGAGTAAGGACAATGTACTGAACTACCTAATTCATTTTTCTTCTAGGGAACCGCGAGTACAAAATGTTCGTATTGGCAACTGATTACACTTCATTTGCACTGACATATGGCTGTGAGGACTTAGACAACGACCGAAGAAGAAGTAAGTTTATTTTTTTAATAAAATAACTGGTGTTTATATCTCAAAACATCATTGTTTAAAGCATAAAATGATGCAGATTTTGACATACTTTTACTTCGTTTTCAGTCAGAAGTTGGAAATTTAGTCGCTCTAACACTTTGAACGAGAATGCAATCAATGAAATAAACAAAGTCATTGAACGTATCGAAGTATTGCACCAGCCCTACTACTATCAAGTGGACCGCTCGCCTCAGGGCTGTTTCTACTTCCCTGAACCCGACTTAAGCTCCAACGTCGTGTTCCGTGGCCAGTGTGACCAGAACATCCGCGCTGTTTCAGATTTTGACGTCGCGAGGGTAATTTATTATGTTGTAGCTTTGGTAACTACGCTTCCATGCAAAGTTCAACAATTTGAATTCGTCGTGTTTAATCTGCGGTTGTTACTGTGATGTGTCAATCAAGTTCGAATGTAATGTATTTTTTAGTATATGGGAATATGGCACGACATTGCGTCTTACCCATCGGCGTTCCAAGACGGCACATGCCCCAACGCCCGGTACACTTTGACCGGCAACACTGTTTCTGTGCACAACACTCACGTCGTGGGCCAGACCTTAGTGACTATCGACGGAGTCGCTACACTAGTATCTACAGACGGAACCGGAAAACTTAAAGTTACATTCAATGTACAAAATAACGAAGGTAAGTATCCAAGCAGAACTACGTATCTACTGTTGTTTAATAGAAAAGTTTAGAGAATTGATTGTCACCTCTGTGGTGGTTGCATTGTTACAGTTACAACAGATTACTGGGTGCTAGCCACTAACTACCAGACGTTTGCGTTAGTCTACTCTTGTGCCAATATTGATGAATACTACATGAGCGGTAAGCTATTCTCACCTGGAAATATTACTCATATCATCTTCCAGTACAAATCGATTGTATTATGATTAAATTATATTTCTTCTAATTTTCAGTTTCTGCCTGGAAACTAAGCAAAGAAAAGTTTTTGTCATCTGACGATGAAACTGCTATTAGCAACGCCATGGCCGACATAAAAGTTTTGGACCAGAGATATTTTGTTTCACGTGACCAAAGTCCTGAAGGCTGTTTCTACTTCCCTGACCCTCAACCCGGAGTACCAGTGGTGTTCCCTGGACAGTGCGACGACAATATTGCAGCAGTATCGAGCTTCGACATTAACAACGTGCGTGAGATTCGTGTCCTTTTTTGACATGACTTTTTAATTTAATTTGTGTGATCAACCGGGCCCTTTCGTTACAGTTCGCAGGGACGTGGCATGAGATCACAGCGTATCCCAAGGACAACCAGCCGGGGCAATGCATCAGCCAACAGTTCACTGTTACCGGAACCAACACCATGCGTCTCGAGTCATTCAGTGTACTCGGACAAGTCCAATCGACCACAGAAGGTGTCGCCACAGTCGCTTCCACTGATGGCACTGGAAGATTGAATATCAACATTCAGACCAATGGGCAGAGTAAGTCCTACTTTCGCTTAGAAGTCATTCTTGAACATGGATATGACTGTGTACTAATCGAACATGTCTCGTTTTGCAGCAGTTACAATACCTTTCTGGATTCTAAGTGTAGACTATGAGGACTACGCATTGGCGTACAGTTGTGTTAATATCAACAAAGACTACCGACAAGGTGAGTTCCACGTAACTTTCGCTATACACTCCGTCACACGTATGAATATTTATCTAAAGCAAATCTTTAACTGTTCTAGTCCATAGCTGGAAACTGAGCAGATCCAGAGTACTATCCAGTACTGGTAACACAGCTATCAACAACGCCATTACCAACATCGACGTTATAGACAATAGATACTTCGACAGCATTGACCAATCAGACGCAGCTTGTTTCCATCTTCCTGACCTAGCAGCTGGTGATGATGTTGTCCTTCCTGGACGTTGCGACGCGACTATTAAAGGAATAGAACAATTCGATATTACAAAGGTAAGTTTTTTACAAGAAACATCAACTTGAGATGTAACAAAACAAGGCAATATATGTATAATTGTATATACCTAATAGGGATGGATGGAAATTTACTCATAACTATGATTGCAGTACGCCGGTCAGTGGCGCCTCATTGAGAGCTACGGATCCCGATTCCAAAGCGGCACTTGTAACGTAGCCGACTACGTATTACAGTCCAGCAACACTCTAAGTATCACGAACTCGCAGGTTGTTGACGAGGCTCTGGCCACAATTTCTGGGACTGCTACAGTTTCTAGTACAGATGGAACTGGACAACTCACGTTTAATATGAGTAAGTATTTTTTTTCATGCCATTTACTTTGTGTACCTACTGTTCCTTCGGATGTTTGAGCAAGATATTATAATCGTTTCCTTACACTTTGAAAGAGCCACAAATTTAAAAAAAATATAGAAATCGAAATAGTATAACATCTACAACAAACAATTTATAAACATACATACTCCAAACAAAACGGACAAAAAATAAGTCCTGTCTGGCGGAAATCCTGCGACTAATTAATGGCTTAAATTAATTTCTAATTGTAATTTGATAAATGCAACTATTCTAGACATTCATTAATTAAATACTTAACTACAAATGAATGACGTCCAGTACTCCAGTTCTTTATGGTATTGTTGAATCAATAATCGCCCACGAAATTTCAGTTGCCTTTTCGTATGGAAACGAAACCCTTCTAATGTTCATGAAAGATCTTCTTAAACAGATACATAAAACATTTTTGTTTCTAGGGAACCGCGAGTACAAAATGTTGGTATTGGCAACTGATTACACTTCATTTGCACTGACATATGGCTGTGAGGACTTAGACAACGACCGAAGAAGAAGTAAGTTTATTTTTTTTAATAAAATAACTGGTGTTTATATCTCAAAACATCATTGTTTAAAGCATAAAATGATGCAGATTTTGACATACTTTTACTTCGTTTTCAGTCAGAAGTTGGAAATTTAGTCGCTCTAACACTTTGAACGAGAATGCAATCAATGAAATAAACAAAGTCATTGAACGTATCGAAGTATTGCACCAGCCCTACTACTATCAAGTGGACCGCTCGCCTCAGGGCTGTTTCTACTTCCCTGAACCCGACTTAAGCTCCAACGTCGTGTTCCGTGGCCAGTGTGACCAGAACATCCGCGCTGTTTCAGATTTTGACGTCGCAAGGGTAATTTATTACGTTGTAGCATTGGTGACTACGCTTCCATGCAAAGTTCAACAATTTGAATTCGTCGTGTTTAATCTGCGGTTGTTACTGTGATGTGTCAATCAAGTTCGAATGTAATGTATTTTTTAGTATATGGGAATATGGCACGACATTGCGTCTTACCCATCGGCGTTCCAAGACGGCACATGCCCCAACGCCCGGTACACTTTGACCGGCAACACTGTTTCTGTGCACAACACTCACGTCGTGGGCCAGACCTTAGTGACTATCGACGGAGTCGCTACACTAGTATCTACAGACGGAACCGGAAAACTTAAAGTTACATTCAATGTACAAAATAACGAAGGTAAGTATCCAAGCAGAACTACGTATCTACTGTTGTTTAATAGAAAAGTTTAGAGAATTGATTGTCACCTCTATGGTGGTTGCATTGTTACAGTTACAACAGATTACTGGGTGCTAGCCACTAACTACCAGACGTTTGCGTTAGTCTACTCTTGTGCCAATATTGATGAATACTACATGAGCGGTAAGCTATTCTCACCTGGAAATTTTACTCATATCATCTTCCAGTACAAATCGATTGTATTATGATTAAATTATATTTCTTCTAATTTTCAGTTTCTGCCTGGAAACTAAGCAAAGAAAAGTTTTTGTCATCTGACGATGAAACTGCTATTAGCAACGCCATGGCCGACATAAAAGTTTTGGACCAGAGATATTTTGTTTCACGTGACCAAAGTCCTGAAGGCTGTTTCTACTTCCCTGACCCTCAACCCGGAGTACCAGTGGTGTTCCCTGGACAGTGCGACGACAATATTGCAGCAGTATCGAGCTTCGACATTAACAACGTGCGTGAGATTCGTGTCCTTTTTTGACATGACTTTTTAATTTAATTTGTGTGATCAACCGGGCCCTTTCGTTACAGTTCGCAGGGACGTGGCATGAGATCACAGCGTATCCCAAGGACAACCAGCCGGGGCAATGCATCAGCCAACAGTTCACTGTTACCGGAACCAACACCATGCGTCTCGAGTCATTCAGTGTACTCGGACAAGTCCAATCGACCACAGAAGGTGTCGCCACAGTCGCTTCCACTGATGGCACTGGAAGATTGAATATCAACATTCAGACCAATGGGCAGAGTAAGTCCTACTTTTGTCTTAGAAGTCATTCTTGAACATGGATATGACTGTGTACTAATCGAACATGTCCCGTTTTGCAGCAGTTACAATACCTTTCTGGATTCTAAGTGTAGACTATGAGGACTACGCATTGGCGTACAGTTGTGTTAATATCAACAAAGATTACCGACAAGGTGAGTTCCATGTAACTTTCGCTATACACTCCGTCACACGTATGAATATTTATCTAAGACAAATCTTTAACTGTTCTAGTCCATAGCTGGAAACTGAGCAGATCCAGAGTACTATCCAGTACTGGTAACACAGCTATCAACAACGCCATTGCCAACATCGACGTTATAGACAATAGATACTTCGACAGCATTGACCAATCAGACGCAGCTTGTTTCCATCTTCCTGACCTAGCAGCTGGTGATGATGTTGTCCTTCCTGGACGTTGCGACGCGTCTATTAAAGGAATAGAACAATTCGATATTACAAAGGTAAGTTTTTTACAAGAAACATCAACTTGAGATGTAACAAAACAAGGCAATATATGTATAATTGTATATACCTAATAGGGATGGATGGAAATTTACTCATAACTATGATTGCAGTACGCCGGTCAGTGGCGCCTCATTGAGAGCTACGGATCCCGATTCCAAAGCGGCACTTGTAACGTAGCCGACTACGTATTACAGTCCAGCAACACTCTAAGCATCACGAACTCGCAGGTTGTGAACGAGGTTCTGGCCACAATTTCTGGGACTGCTACTGTTTCTAGTACAGATGGAACTGGACAACTTACGTTTAGTATGAGTAAGTATTACAAAGAAATTAATATTTGTTGTTTTCAACTGGTAAGTTAGGTAGTTCTAGGTAACAATGCGTGTATCAAAGTTATTAACATTTATTTCCTTACACAAATAGATACTTGTGAAGCATCGTGTAAATCTAATAGTCGATCAGTGTAGCTTGGTGCTTGTTACAAAATATTCAGACGAATTCAGAAAAAAGAGCCAAATATTTCCGCAATAAAGAAATTCGCCAAAAAACCGGGGCCAACATAGCTCTTAAAATCTGGAAGCTTATATGGCGATGGGCAGGTCACATCGTTCGAAGGACTGACGGGCGATGGGTCAGAAAAGTGCTCGAGTGGCGACCACGGAACGGAGGACGTAGCGCGTATTAAAGAGCTTGCTGAGAATAACTCCAAAATCCAACGGATGAACTCAACTTAGATGTATATGATATATACAAATAGTACGCTATATTATATTCGTGAAAAATAACTTATGTACTTAAATGATCATTTTTATAATTAAAAAAAATGATAAGCTCCGACGCGTTACAATATAAAATCCTTCGATTCTATAAGTAGTTATTTATAGTTTAAATGTTTGTGTCTAATATGAGTAATACATATAATTGTTTTTCTTCTATACAAACTACTTTACGACAGACATAAGTTACTTAATTTCAAATAAGTATTGCCCAGTTTTAGTTAAATCTGCAGTTAAAATATTGATAAATCAATCTACTAAAATGTCATGTTCCATTTCAAAAGACTTCTACTGTAGGACACGATGGAGTAAGGACAATGTACTGAACTACCTAATTCATTTTTCTTCTAGGGAACCGCGAGTACAAAATGTTCGTATTGGCAACTGATTACACTTCATTTGCACTGACATATGGCTGTGAGGACTTAGACAACGACCGAAGAAGAAGTAAGTTTATTTTTTTAATAAAATAACTGGTGTTTATATCTCAAAACATCATTGTTTAAAGCATAAAATGATGCAGATTTTGACATACTTTTACTTCGTTTTCAGTCAGAAGTTGGAAATTTAGTCGCTCTAACACTTTGAACGAGAATGCAATCAATGAAATAAACAAAGTCATTGAACGTATCGAAGTATTGCACCAGCCCTACTACTATCAAGTGGACCGCTCGCCTCAGGGCTGTTTCTACTTCCCTGAACCCGACTTAAGCTCCAACGTCGTGTTCCGTGGCCAGTGTGACCAGAACATCCGCGCTGTTTCAGATTTTGACGTCGCGAGGGTAATTTATTATGTTGTAGCTTTGGTAACTACGCTTCCATGCAAAGTTCAACAATTTGAATTCGTCGTGTTTAATCTGCGGTTGTTACTGTGATGTGTCAATCAAGTTCGAATGTAATGTATTTTTTAGTATATGGGAATATGGCACGACATTGCGTCTTACCCATCGGCGTTCCAAGACGGCACATGCCCCAACGCCCGGTACACTTTGACCGGCAACACTGTTTCTGTGCACAACACTCACGTCGTGGGCCAGACCTTAGTGACTATCGACGGAGTCGCTACACTAGTATCTACAGACGGAACCGGAAAACTTAAAGTTACATTCAATGTACAAAATAACGAAGGTAAGTATCCAAGCAGAACTACGTATCTACTGTTGTTTAATAGAAAAGTTTAGAGAATTGATTGTCACCTCTGTGGTGGTTGCATTGTTACAGTTACAACAGATTACTGGGTGCTAGCCACTAACTACCAGACGTTTGCGTTAGTCTACTCTTGTGCCAATATTGATGAATACTACATGAGCGGTAAGCTATTCTCACCTGGAAATATTACTCATATCATCTTCCAGTACAAATCGATTGTATTATGATTAAATTATATTTCTTCTAATTTTCAGTTTCTGCCTGGAAACTAAGCAAAGAAAAGTTTTTGTCATCTGACGATGAAACTGCTATTAGCAACGCCATGGCCGACATAAAAGTTTTGGACCAGAGATATTTTGTTTCACGTGACCAAAGTCCTGAAGGCTGTTTCTACTTCCCTGACCCTCAACCCGGAGTACCAGTGGTGTTCCCTGGACAGTGCGACGACAATATTGCAGCAGTATCGAGCTTCGACATTAACAACGTGCGTGAGATTCGTGTCCTTTTTTGACATGACTTTTTAATTTAATTTGTGTGATCAACCGGGCCCTTTCGTTACAGTTCGCAGGGACGTGGCATGAGATCACAGCGTATCCCAAGGACAACCAGCCGGGGCAATGCATCAGCCAACAGTTCACTGTTACCGGAACCAACACCATGCGTCTCGAGTCATTCAGTGTACTCGGACAAGTCCAATCGACCACAGAAGGTGTCGCCACAGTCGCTTCCACTGATGGCACTGGAAGATTGAATATCAACATTCAGACCAATGGGCAGAGTAAGTCCTACTTTTGTCTTAGAAGTCATTCTTGAACATGGATATGACTGTGTACTAATCGAACATGTCTCGTTTTGCAGCAGTTACAATACCTTTCTGGATTCTAAGTGTAGACTATGAGGACTACGCATTGGCGTACAGTTGTGTTAATATCAACAAAGATTACCGACAAGGTGAGTTCCATGTAACTTTCGCTATACAGTCCGTCACACGTATGAATATTTATCTAAAGCAAACCTTTAACTGTTCTAGTCCATAGCTGGAAACTGAGCAGATCCAGAGTACTATCCAGTATTGGTAACACAGCTATCAACAACGCCATTGCCAACATCGACGTTATAGACAATAGATACTTCGACAGTATTGACCAATCAGACGCAGCTTGTTTCTACCTTCCTGAACTGGGTCCTAATGACCCTGTTATATTCCCTGGAAAGTGTGACCTCAATATTCCTGTTATTCAAAACTTCGACGTGTCAAGGGTATGTTAGAGAAGAATTTTATTCATCAATTTTTAGTTACGAATCAAAAGAATAAGAGACTATCGTGTCTTTTCTGTTATGTAAACAGTCCAGTTGTTTGGTACAAAAACATACTTAATAACTTTTCCTAAACGGTATAAATTTGCTTGATATTCTGCTTCTTTTTCTGTTTAATCGTGGACCTACATAACCCAGTGCGGAAGGTGTCGTCCTAATAGAACTTGCTGAAGGCTAGTCGCAAAAAAACGCGGGATATCCGTTTCTTGTTACTCATATTCGATTTCTCAGTACTATAACTATTTTGTAGATAAACTTCTTTACCGTCATTTATTTTGCCATCAATATATTTTAGCATATTTTTTTGGCTTTTAATTTATCTGATTATTGTCCTTACATAGTTTAGCCACTCTTTGTTATTTCTATATATATACTTATAATTTATTCGCTTTTAATACGATTATGCTTATAGTTTTTAGCCCAAGTAATTAATGCGAATCTATTTGATTTAATAAGGAAACATAATAAGGATTTGACAGTTTGCCAAACTATGTAGAATCTTAAGATTAATTGCAAACATTAAACTCACTTTTGTTATTGTTTTCTACTTGTCTTTTTTAATAGGTCTCTTATAATTAAGTTAGTCAATATGTATAATGTATGAAGTAATTATTATTAATAGCCTTAGGCCAGTAAACACAAAAATAATGATGATTCGAGTATTCATAGTGCGAAATATACATATGGCGTCATGTAAAACGGAGTCTTAGGAGAGAGAGAGAGAGAGAGAGAGAGAGAGAGAGAGAGAGAGAGAGAGAGAGAGAGAGAAAGAGAGAGAGAGAGCTCATTATGCAGCAGCATCTGATGGCACTGTAATTGTAACTAACTCAAAAGTTGTTGATGAGGAACTGAATAGCGTTGTAGGCTCCGCTGTTCCAGTAGCCAGTGATGGCAGCGGAAAACTGGTCGTCACTTTCCCAGGTGGTAAGTACTTTGAATACCTATTCCATTTTTTAATGTGATTGCTCGGCAAACAAACGAGCATTCCCTACCTGATGGTAAGCAATCAGCGCTGCCTATGGACACCTGCAATAACGGAGGAGTTATGAATGGGTTGCCGACCGTTTAGTGATTTGGAGATTTTGGAAATTAGGGAGGGATTAGGGGTGGGGACGGATTGGGCCTACTCTAACTTCACTCACTCACAAGGCGAAACACAACGCTGTGGTTGTTTCACACGGGTTTTCTGTGAGACCGTGGCCCGACTTCGTTCGAGCCGACCCATTCGTGCATGGCTCACTGACACTTCCATTAGAGAATAACGAATACAACATACAATATCCATTGCCGTTGCCTGTACGTTCTTTTTGCTGAAATATATTTAAAAGACCTCCTAACCTGCGCCTCCATGTCACGACGACTGCTTGTTTGTATGTTAATATTTTAAATTAATATTATAAGTATTTAATTTTATTTTTCTTTTACTTTTTTAGGAACATCCACCGAATATTGGATATTAGCAACTGACTATAACACGTACGCACTGGTTTACACATGTGCTAATCTACCTAATGATCAAAGAAGAGGTTTGTGTCGTATTTTTTTTATAAAACATCTCTAAAGTTTTCGTTTATTTTATTAACTTTTAAGTAAAAATTATGGTGTTATATCTAATATATAAAATTCTCGTGTCACAGTTTTATTTTCCATGCTCCTCCGAAACGGCTTGACCGATTTTGATGTTTTTTTTTGTGCTTATCCGGTATCTATGAGAATCGGCCAACATCAATTTTTAATCCCCCTAAATGTTAGGGGTAGTCCAGTCCACGCCTAATTTTTTTTTATTATTTTTTACACATAATTTTCATTTTTTTTTATGATACAACATACAAAATACAATACATACAATCCTCAATTTTCAGCCTTCCACGATCAACCCTTATTTTTTAATAGATATATTAATAATTTAATAATTTTTCCTCTCCGGTCTAAAACTGATCAATCGTCAGTAAATTTGTTATCCCCGCTAGATGTCTACAGGTGTCACTTCTGACTCAGTAATTGTGCGCGTGCGAAGCTGGGACGGGTCGCTAGTAGGTAAAACTAGCTTTTGCCCGCGACTCCATTCGCGTGTAATAGTGACTTCCTGCAAAGATGAACGGCAGGCTTGTATGGGAGTCCTGTACCGCTAATAATTTTTCGTGTTTTGGGATACTTTTTGGTTCAATTGGTAGTTAATATGATAAACAAGCCCTGTTTAAAATGTTGGATTTTTAAAACTTGGGACATAAGAGTTGTAGCTAGTTTTATTTTTAAAGGTTATGTACTAGAGTATTAGCTTAGATTGTTATTTGAAGGTACATAAACATTATTTTGGTGATTCAAAGGTTTGCTATACGGTTGCGAACTAGTGTTACAACCATGATAGCAAGAGGTGCGTTTCCCCAACGACCGAACGTGATGGCGCGTGGTTAACATCCACGGCAAAAACCTAACACACAAAATAAGGTCATCTTTGTTGAAACGCTAGTTTTCATCCATCTAGTCACTCAATAATGAAGTATTAACTGGGTTTAGACTACAGGTATATAAAACAATGTTTTAGGTTAGGTTTAATATACAGACGTCTTTAATTATGTTACTTGTTATTCCCACTTCTAAATAATTATTTATAATTCCGATATTTGTCTTATTTTACAATGGCATCTTCTCAAAACATGACTGCGTTCAGTTTTTACGATTTTAGTGCGCTTGTTTATTGAAATATTTTTATTGATATTTATAATTAATCCCAGCTTCTAAAAATAGAACAATTACATAAAAATTAATAGCTTAGCTGCCTTAATAAGTAGTTACAAATTCTAATACATAACATTACAAAAAGTATGCGGTACAGGGTCTGCCGTTCGCCTTTTTGGCATAAAAATATACCAAATTTCACAGAAATCGGTTCAGTAGTTTAGGCGTGAGGAAAAGACAGACAGACAGACTGTTGACTTGTTGACTATCGACAAAGTTGCTTCCGCATTTATAATATAAGTAAAGAAGTATAGATAGTATAGATTGGACTCAATGTCTACCAATTTTTTGACTTCCTTCAGTCATACTCATACTTATTACATTATTTTAGTGTGGAGCTGGAAAATGAGCAGATCGAATACATTGCCACCAGATGCTATTGTTGAAATTAATAACGTAGTTAACAACATCGATGTACTCAATGAGCGTTACTATCAAGATATTGATCGAACAGACACAGGATGTTTTTACTATCCCGAACCAGACAGCGAATTTGATGTTATTTTCCCTGGACAGTGTGATGATAGCATACCAGCCGTTCCGGATTTCCAACCTGAACGGGTATGTTTACAGATATAATATATTTTTATGTGATAGTCCGGCAAACGAGCAGACGTATTACCTGATTGTAAGCAATCAGCGCCACCCATGGACACCCGCAACAACAGAACAGTTACGAGTGCGTTGCCTGACTTTTGGAGATTGGGGATTTGGAGATTTTGAGATTGGGGAGAAATTGAGGATGGGGAAGAATTGGGCCTCCGGTAACCTCAGTCGCACGGCGAAACACAATGCTGTGGTTGTTTCACGCCGGTTTTCTGTGAGGCCGCAGTATCACTCTGGTCGAGCCGACCCGTTTATGCCGAAGCATGGCTCTCCCACACTTAAATCATATTTTTCATAGCCCACTCACACACAGTCCACTGCAGATGGGACCCAGTAGGGTCAATGTCCAGTCAGAGTAACGATTGTAAAGTAGGAGAGCCAACTAACTAAGTGTAGTGCATAAAGAGCTCTAAGTGTGGGAGAGCTATACTTCGGCACGAATTTGGCCGGCTCGAACTGAGTAATTCCATGGCCTTGCAGAAAACAGGCGTAAAGCAACACTCACGTTGAGTTTCTTTGCGTGAGTGTGGTTACCGGAGGCCCAATTCCTCCCCTGGTTACTAAAAGCCCAATTCTTTCCGTCCCCATCCATCGTCAATCCTCAAATTGTCTTATCGCACGATCTCCGGTGAGGCTTCGAACCTCCTTGCCGGATCACCGCCATGGGATCTGGAAGCAAAGGCGCTCGCGCGCGTCTACAGTTTGCGCGCAGACGCGCGTCGCCGGGGCGAGGATCCTCTGCCGCGCCAAATTAGTGCGTGGCGGAATGAGCTCCGGCGAGATCTCATGGCTGAGTGGAAGCAGCGACTGTCGCAACCGAGTTCCGGGCACGCTACTATAGCAGCGGTAAGACCCCTCTTTGAGGAGTGGCTTGAGAGGATACGGTGGAGCATACGGTAGCGGTATGCCCTGCCTGGGCTGAGCACCGCCGTATCCTCAGGGAAGTGATCGGCGGCGGCGACCTCTCGCGCCCGGCCTTAGTCGAGGCCATGGTGCGGAGTGAGAGGAACTGGGACGCCGTCTCCTCCTTTTGTGAAGCAGTCATGCTCGCAAAGAGAGAGGCGGCCCGCGTGAGGGAGCAATCCTCCT